TAATAATATATATTATTATTGTTCATGATATAAATTTTTTTCAACTTTTTATATGACTTCTTAAAATTGTGCAAGTTCTGTTGGTATAATATTATATTTAAAAATATATCACCATTATTTTTTTTGAAAATAAGTATGATAAAATCATACGACTAAATTTAATATATAGATTTTTTTATTCATATATGATCTATAATAAAGGTCGCAGCATTAGACACAAAATCTTTTAATTTATAATGATATTAGTATAATTTGTGATTGAGAATTTAATTATGAAATATTTTTTTAAAAAAAAATTAACATATAACGTGATGAGTACTTTAAAATTTATAATTATTTTTTTGTTACGAAAGGGGGTGGTTTTTCTCGTCCCCATTTCGTTTTCACCGTCCACGTTCCGATTATATTAAATTAATAATTTTTATAATTATATATCTATATATAATTTAAATTACATTTATTTGAATAACAATAGCTTTACATTTCAGATTTCTATTTTCTTTTGCTGCGAGCTCTATTGGTGTTATTTTATCTGGAAGTCAAGTTTTGCCAAAAAAATTAAATTAAAACCTAGTTTGGGTTTTATTTTTTGTTTTTTTTTTATTTATAGATTTTTTAATTTTTTATATGAGATAAAAAAAATTAAAATGTATTTAAAAATGACTTTTTTTAGTTATATAAAAAAACGTGAATAACTTCTGTGTGTTTGACTTATTGTTTTAGTGATTTTTTTATTTTTTATTTTTTGACATTTTTAATAATTTTTTTTGATCTTTTCTTTTATAAAAAAAAATATATAACTCTTGTCAAACAAGGCCCGAGAAACTTATAAACTTAAATTGCTACATGTTAAAATATTTGTATACAGACTATTTGCAATTGAGTGCTGTTATGGTGTGCAACCCCTTAACACTATTAGCCCCTTATAAAGTTCAAATTTACTCCTGAGATAAGCTTTTTTTTTTCATTTATTTCTATTCTCTTTAGTTTTGCATAAAGTATCACATGACAAAAAAACGGCGTTATATGATTTTTTTTTTTTTTTTCTATCTTTTTTCTTTAACTTTCATTAAGCGTTTTATATTTAGATGGTTAGAATTAGGAGTGTTCAAAATACCCAGAGAACTGAAGAACTGAACCAAACCTATCTCTTTAGGTTGGTTTGGTATGGTTTTTTAATGCATTGGTTTGGTTCTGAGTTTTTAACTTATCAAACCGATAGAATTGGGTTGGTTCTTGGTTTAAACTTTGTTTAAACCGAACCAACTCAAGAACTGAATCTATATACTTATACATAATTTTTTTTTTAATATTGACATATATCTTTATATTATCATGATCTTGTATGTTACTTCAAATTCCTATTTTCACCAAGTTTGTGCAATTGAACAATTTTGAATTATTGGTCTAAGAGTAATAGACTGCTTCAAGTTAAATGATTTAGCCTACTGACAAGGAAATGATTTAGTGTGAAAAATAAAAGAACTCATGTGAACCGTATGTATGTGCATTATGAAATGCTAGACTCTGCTTCAAGTTATTCTTTAAATGTGATGTGTCAAAGCTCAAAAGAAATGGAAGTTGATAAACCCACTGATAGTAGTTGTGGTGAACATGTGAAGTCTCTTCAATCTGAATTTTTGAAGCACTTGGAAGAAGAAGAAAATGTTTATGCAAAATTAGAGGTAGACAAATCAGAAGATAATGTTAATTCAATTATTTTTAAAAAAATCAACCCGAGCTACATTGGATTGGTTCTAGTATATGATTGGTTTGGTTATGGATCTAAAAACTTGGAACCGATCATGATTGAGTTGGTTTTAAAATTAGTGCCAAACCGAACCAAACTAACTCACAAACACCCCTAACTCGAAGAGAGGTGAAATGAGAATTTCATTTAAAAAAAAAAAAAATTATTCCATTTTTTTGGTACATCCAAGAATAAAAATGTTATTTTTAATTCACTTTGTAAAACAAAATGATATTACACACCAAGTGAAAATTCTATTCCTACATTGTCATAAAAATTTCAGATTTTTGGGGGAATTTGTTTATCAAAAATTTATAATAAAATCAAATACTTAAATTACATTGACACAAAAATATTACTACTAGTACTGAGATTCATAATAATATTTTTATTCTTTTCTCTTCATTCCTATCATCCAAATGAGGAGAAATCATTTCAACATACCATAAGCAAGAGATTCAGAACTGCATTAATTCCACAAGGCCACACCTTCTTCATTGGGGAGCGCAGGCTGGGCCAGAAGACAGTAAGCCCATTAAAGATGAAATTCATTATGTGTTGGGTCAGAGTTCTTGCATAATATGTAGCAAAACTTGATAAATTTATGCTTCAGGTCAGGTCACCTTGCTCAGCCAATCTCAGGATACAAGAGGCAGTAATTTTATTTTATCTTGAAATTAATTTTTTTTAGTTCCATAACTTATTTATATATTTTGATAGATTAGTAACCATTTTAACTTTTTGGTTTGGATTCCAATTTTAAAGCAGTTTATAAAATTTTTGTAAATATAAACTGAAAACGTAAAAAAAATAAGGAGAGTAAACTTTTCAATACTAGTCTAAAAATGTGCCAGACGAAAATACCATAGAATAGGGTTTTTCACTTTTTGGATAAATTTCAAAATTTAATAATTTTAAATTTATATTTTTATAATTCTCTCATTAAGATTTAGCAAATAGGATCAATAAACAACATAAAGTTTTTTTTTTTAAAATCAGTGAAATTTTACTTGTTTTACACATGAAATCATTGGCTAAAACTCAGAGAAATTTTTATTAAAAATTAAAAATTGAAAATTTGGGAATCAATTATAGAAATTGAAGTCTCTAATTTCAAATTTATATCTAAAAAATTGAGTGCTCTAACATGATGCATTTTAATGAAATTTCACTTACTATCGGAAAGGTGAAATATAGAGAAAACCGAGAAAAATGGAACAGAGAAAGAGAAGAATGAGAGGGAGAAAAAAGAGAGACGAGACATGTACAAATGAAGGGAGATTGTACAATGACGATAAGATGAGACCATTGTCACAAACAAGCTTCACAGAATGATAGTTAGGCTTATTTTGGAAAGATAATAAAAAGTGATTTTTTTTACTTTTAATCAAGTTTTTAGTTTTTTTAGACAAATGATTTGAAAAGTTGGTAAAAAGTTACTTTTGATTTTTTTTATTAATATTTATTTATGATGTTAAATCACAATAAAATGACCAAACTACCTCCATTTATTTAAAATATTTACAACTTCACTCAGATAACACATTTTAACTCATAAGGGGTATAATTATAATTTTGTCATTGGTTAAAAACTAAGTTCCCAAATAAAAAAAAAAGACAGAAAAGTTAATTTTTATCTTTGGCTACGAACCTAAAAAAAAATGACTAAAAACTATATTGCCAAAACACCCCAAACGGCAGTAGTGTTGGTAAATAGTAACGATGACAGTAACCAACGATGGTTGTAATCAATGATGATAGCAAACAGTGGTGATAATAATGACTTATTTTGGGAAGATGATAAAAAATAATTTTTTTGTTTTTAATCAAGTTTTTTATTTTTTTAGACAAATGATTTGAGAAGTTGATAAAAAGTTACATTTGACTTTTTTAATTAATATTTGTTTATGATGTCAAATCATAATAAAATAATCAAACTATCCCCATTAATTTAAAATATTTACAACTTCACTCATGTAGTACATTTTTATTCACGAGGGTTAAAATTATAATTTCACTAGTAGCTAAAAACCAAATTCTCAGATGAAAAAAAATGCAAAAAAGTTAACTTTAACTTTTATTACAAACCAAAAAAAATTGTTAAAAGTCAACTTCCCAAAATAGGTCAATGGCAATAACGGTGGCAAACTTCAGTGATTTTAACCACCGAGGGTAGTGGCCCAGTGGTGAAGGCATTGTCTTTCCCCAGCCATGAGTCAAGTTTGACTCTTGGGGGCGCGAAAATCTTGGATTTTCTAGGGGTTTTCTTCGGAGACCTCGCGCTGTACTCCGATCGAAATTTGTCCGTGGCTGGGACGGTTAATGAGCTCCATTGGTGCCTCGATGGTAGGTCCCTTCCTACGGGTTGGGTTAAATCAGGCTGGCAACCGGTTACCCTGGAGCCTAGGCCTACGGATGTAGTGATAACACCTCAGACCATCTTTTTTTTTCTGTTCAAAAAAAAAAAAAAAAACTTCAACGATTTTACTTTTTAAGTCTTTTGTTAGATCAACTTAAAAAAAAAAAATTACACAAATTTAAAAGAAAAAATCACTGAAAAATAAAAATGTTGAGTTTTTGGTGAGATCCCAAACACCTCGCTCTAAGAGCATCTCCAAAAGCCTCTTTATTCCTCCATTTTTGTTACTATAGCTAGCTAAAATCAGAAAATTCATCTCCAGCAGCCTCGTCGGTGGCTAGCTACTTTGATTTTCTACTACAGTACCTCGCCAGGGAAGACGAGGCACTGTTCAATAGCCTCTCAATTTTTTAGGAAACTTTTTGGTAGGTATTCTGATCCATGAAAGAATGAGGATGGATTGAGAAGTGCTACTTTCATGGGAATTCTAAACAATTTGTAGAAATCGTGGATGTGAATCGGAAACAAACACTCTTGTTTTGGTGCTCGATGGAGGGGGTTGGTTGTGCCTATGAGTGTGGTGATGGTCTTCATCAGTTTTGTAAAGAGGGGTAGCGATGCTTTTCAAGACCGGCAAGGTGTTCGACAAAATGCCCCAATGATGAAATGGCCACCATGGTTACACCTTGACAACTCTTCTTTGTTATTCTTTATCAGCACCATCACTGTCCCATGTAGTTGTGCGGTTTTAAGAGATGCCCACAAAGTGTTCGGTGAAATGCTCTAAACTGTGGGAAGTGCCATATTTTGGTATTAATTCTGTGCTTGTATTTATTAATATTTTAAAAGAAATAGTTAAAATAGAGAGTGTTGTTAGAATGTGTATTAAAAAAATGGTTAGCTAACTAATAAAGTGAAACTTTGGATAGCTAATCCTGGACATGCTCTAAATCCCCAAAGTTGGGCATTTCAAGCCCATTAGCTTCGTGCACTCAAATCTCGTAACCACTCTCTGATAAACCCTAAACAAACCATGCAATTTCTTCACAAACTCATCCCCAAAACCCCAACCTCCCCATCTCTCTTCCACATTACCTCTCGCTTCCTCACCACCACCCAAATCCCAAATTCCTTCCCCGACGAACCCAGCTCCGCCTTCTACGACCACCTCATCGACGCCGCTGGCCGCCAAAAGGACTTCGCCACCGTCCTCAGCCTCCTCAACAAGCGTTCACGAGACGGTTTCTTCAACACCACCAACACCTTCAATTTCATCTCCACCAACCTCTCCGTCCTCGACGACCTCTCCCAAACCCTAGCCTCTCTCGACAGAGGCTTCACCCGAAAGAGCGCCTTCGACGCACTCGTCTCTCGCCTCTCCCGCTTGGGCCGCCCCGACGAAGCTCTCCGCGTGGCGGAGCAAATGCTCCGGCAGGGCTACGGTGCGAACGCGTGCACCTTCCACCCCATACTCAACGCTCTCACTAGGAAGAAGACGATGGACGAGGCATGGCGCGTCATAGACTTGATGAGAGAGAATCGAATCTCCCCTGATCTGACGGCCTATAATTATCTCCTCACGGCTTATTGCTTCGTCGGAGATCTGACGTCAGCCGCCGGATTGCTGACGAGGATGGCGGAGGAGGGGTTGGGGGCGGATTCGAGGACGTACGACGCGCTGGTTCTGGGCGCGTGTAGGGTGGGGAAGGTGGAGGGTGCTCTGGTGGTGCTGAGGAGGATGGAGGATGATGGAGTGCCGGTGTTGTACTCCACTCATGTGCACGTTATAAGTGGGTTGCTGAAGTTGGGCTATTATGCGCAGGCGGTTGAGTTTGTGATGAGCTATGGAGGGAGGGACGAAGGGTTGGATACGGAGAGTTTTGGGATTTTGGCTAGCCGTCTGATTAATTTGAAGAGGTTTGATGATGCCAAGTTGGTTTTGAAGGAGATGAGCAAAATGGGTTTGAAAATGGGTGCTAAATTGATGGATTTTTATGAATTACATATCAAAGAGTAAATGCCAATTAATTTCACTCTTCTTTGCTTCAATTTCATTTTTTTATTTTTTATTTTTTTTGGGTTTAATTTAGTATGTAATGGTAAATGATGCATTATATAAAATATGTTAATGCATTGTTCATACAGTAGATTGGTATTCAAAATTTAATATCAAAATTTTGTCACTGTATTATTATTGAGTGTAATTTGTTGATTTGATGTGGCAAATATGAACCAATTTAAATTGTAGGATAATGTTAAACCTTCTTATAATAGTTGTCCTTCTCTTCAATTAGTGATTTAATTGAGGGACTATCAAACTTTAGTAAGCTAACCCAGATGAACTCGGGGATTAGAAATATTTATCTTGTCGTGTCTATGGACTAAATAATTCATACATTGATCATATATTTAATTATATGATTGGTTTATATTTATTTTCAAAAAGTTAGATGATTTATTTTTAAAGTTATAATTGTTCATTTTTGTAAAAGAAATGTGATGAGATTTAGGTGGGTTTCGTGTCGTGATAAATTTATCTCGGCACCAACTCAGTTTGTTGATTATTTGTTGTTATCATATCATTTTTGGTCTGAAAAATACTTGACCCCCATTTTTTGGAAATTCCCATAACTCCCTTTGATTTCTATGGGATTCACTCATGTATCTCTATGGTTCATATCATCAATGGTGGAGATCTAAAGGAGGTTGTAGGGGTCTGCAAAAAGTGAGGGTCTCAATCATTATTGTTTTTAGTCTGTTTGCTTCATGTTGTGCTCATCATGTCAAAAAATTTTGCCACTAGTCAAAAATATTAGGTGTATGAACAAAATTTAAAAAAATTCACAAATTAAATTTAATAAAACTAATGTCTATTGAATAGATTTTTTTTCTTTTTTTTATTTCACTCATCAAATCCTAAATTCTTCAAATAAATTTTTTTTTTTTTTTTGTGCAAAAAATGGATGTGTGAATAGGTTATTCACAGACATCTATCGAAACTAATACCGCATCTACGTTAGGATATCCACAGACATTTGTTGAAATCAACGTCTCACCTTCGTGGGAACCGAAATTAAGGTTCCAACGTATTCTGGGTATTAAGAAATAAGGTCATGTTTGTTTGGGTAGACATGTACTTGGGATTGGACTAATAGTTTAATTGAAATACGGATTAACAATTCATCCAGATATGATATTACACATATGATGGACTATTTAATCCCACATAGAGGGTATGATATAAATTAGGAGACTAAGTCAAAGTCTGGACTAACTTATCAAATGACCATATATGATTAATATATTGGATGTTCCATATCCTGTCATATCCTATCAATTCCAATCTCCTTAAACAAATATCGGATTATATAATATTTTGTTAATCCCTTATTATAATCCCTCCTCATAATCTTAACTCAATCAAAACATAAGATATGATATACAATTCAAAGGGATTCGTAATTCTAAGACTATTAGTTATGAAAATATTAATCTAACTTAATTTAGCCTGCCTAAACAAACATGGTGTAAGTGTAATCCCAATAATCTGCTATGAAAGATATTTGAATCCAAGTGTTGAGCAAGAGAGACAAACCTCTTACCACTAATCAACATATCATTGGTAAATAAAATAAGTAGTTATTTTTATGTTTTACTACTCCAATTCTAATGGACTCTTTAAATGATATATTAATTTTTTAATTTTTATTTTTATCTTGAAAGGATATTCTTAATTATTGGTTGAATTTTAAGCATTAGTAACATTCATTGGTAAATAAATATAATCTTTCAATAAATATTTTAATTTAAATTCTAAAATATATATATAATTCTTTTTATATTTTTTATAATTTATTTATTTTATTTTATTATTACTATTTTATAAATTGATAAGCCGGGTTAGGATGTAGTAAAACTTCTTATTCCAAATTCAACTTCAATTAATGGTTACAAAATATCAACATAACTCTATATATTAAGGTATTATTTGGCATTTTCTATATTAGTACATTTTTATTTTTTTTTAATCTTTTTAAGTTACATTATTTTTTCTAATCCTTTTAATTTTTTTTTTAAAGTCTTAAAAGTATTCATCTCGGGCTGAACTGGGTAAGTTTGTGTTGAGCTATCAAGCTACCCCTGCATAAAAAGAGTCCGGATTCTCTGGCCGCTCTTCCGGCGGCCGTCCAGCAGCCCGCCCCAAAACGACGTCGTTTGGGGGTTATTTTGATTTTTTTTTTTTTTCTTTTCTTCTTCCTCGTTGGAAAACCGAACCAGAGGGAGAGGAGGGGAGGGGAGAGAGAAGAGAGAGACGCAGAGAGGGGGAGGGGAGGAGAGAGAGAGAGAGAGGAGAAAGGGAGAAGAAGAGGAGGCACCGGACTAGAGGGGGCCATATAATCACCGGGAAGGAGGAGGAGGCAGAGGCAGGGCCGGGACGCGGAGGCGACGCAGATCGGGCGACGATTCCGGGTAGCATGGCGAGCTCGACGACTGCGACGGCGAATCCGGACCCCAAAATCCGGCGGAGCCACCTCCCCGTTCTGCCTCCCCGTCTTGCGTCTGTGCTTTTGGTTTCTGGAACTCTCTCTTCTTCCCCTCCCCTCCCCTCCCCTCTGGTTCTGCGAAGAAGAAGAAAAGAAAAAAAACAAAAAAAAAAAAACGAAAAAACCCCCAAAACGACGTCGTTTTGGGGGGGCTGCTGGGAACGGCCGCCCAGAAGGGCGGCCGAGGATCCAAATTCGCATAAAAATATCCCCAAAAAAATCAGAAGGGAAAAAAAATATTTTCTCAAAATTTAAAATATTATAAACCTAAAGTATACTCTTACAAACGATATTGACTTTTTGGGATGGGGCTATGACGCTATTTAGTAGGGTTTATTTTTAGTTTATTTTAATTTTTAACTTAATTTAAGTTATTTTAATGTGTTTGGTTCAATTTAATAATACAATTTATAATTTTTTATAAGTCAAAAATCAACTTATTCTATGAGTGAGGGAGGAGAAACTTAATTTATAAGTAAAAAATCAGCTTATGTTCACAGCTATAAGGTATAAGCTGTTAAGTTATAAGTTATAATCACTTTCCACAGCTCTACCAAACAAGGCCTATATGTAATGAGGCTGTTTGTTTGGACGGACTAAAGGAGAGATTGGACTTAATATTTAATTTACCATGTTGTTTATTATTTAGTTGTGAATTTATAAGTTGGATTATAAATTCCATATATATATATTGAACTATTGTGTTATAGGAGGTGATGTTTGATAGAAACGATGGGGTTGGAATTTTATGGGATTAAGTTATAAAATGACACATTTGTCCTCTAAGTATTTAGGTCTCATTTGGGAACATGTTTTATTTTAGTAATTTTTTAGCTAAAATATGAGGTAAAAAAAGTTAGTATGTTTGGGGTGATTTTTTGACTTTTTACGAAAAGATGTGCAAAAAGTAGAGAGAAAAGAGAATCTTTAACTTTTTAGTATAAGTTATGGGCTTTTTGACTTTTTTTAGTAATTTTTTGATTTTTTGACTAAAATGTTAACTTACCAAACGAGGCCTTCATATGATTATATATTGTACTTATTAGAATAAAATAAAATAAAATATAAAAATTTCAATTAAAAAACAAAATAAAATAAATTTATTTAATTTTTATTGATGTTTATTTGTTTATTTTTTAAATAAGTTTTTACAAATGTTTTATTGATATTTTATTTAATTTCATTATTTAATTTCATCAGTTTTTTTAAAATAAATTTATTTTAAATTTTATTTTAAAAATAACATAAATTTTTATTGATGTTCTATTTATTTAATTTTAAAAATAAATTTATTTAATTTTTAAAAAATAAAATAAAATTTCATTTAATCTAGTAAAAAAAACTAAAAATTAAAAATAAATTTAGTATTGCTATTATTTAGTAAATAATTGAAAATGGTAAAATAGTCTATTGAGCATTTATCTTTGTTCATAATATTCTAATCAAACATTGATTTTAATAGGATAGTCTTTTTTAGACATCTAATCTTATTAGAAAACAAACAAATGATACACATCTTTTTTAACCAAATATTCCAAAGACTATATATTCCAGAATTAATAGTCGGATAGATTAGAATCTCCTTATCCAGTCCATCCGAACAAACATAGCCAATATGTTTAAACTTACGCTTTCTTTATATATATAAAATAAAAAAATAAAAGTTAACGAAAAAATATTTTTTTCTTATAAAAAAAAAAAAAAATGATCGAAACATATTTTTCACTTTTAAAATGAGAAATATAATTATAGAACTGAAGTTCACCAATGCCACACCTCATTACCACTACTACCATCACATCCATATCTATATCTATGATCATTATTTTCGATATCGCCACGACAACCTCCATTTTCGCTGTCATAATCGCCAACGTCCACTCCATCATTATCACTACTGCCACCACACTATTACCGTTACAACCAATACCACTGTATTCAATACTAGCATCACCAACCCCAAAGCTTCCACCTCCAACTTAGTATCGCTACTACTACCATCACTAATGTAACTATTAATACATCTATTTTAGGGAGAATAACCCATCAGTGGGGATAACAAAAATTATCTACAAAAGAATAAGTTTTTTTTTATATTTTTAAATATTAATATCTATAATATTTTTTACTTATTTATAAATATTTTACATTGACATAGTATCAGTGTAATTTCCTTTTTATTTTAAAAAGACAACAAAACATAAGAAAACGTTTTATATGAAAAAATATTTTAAAGAAAAAGTTTGATATAAAAAAATAAACAGAGCATTAATTTATTAATTTTTTTAGTCAATTTCAAATAAATTTTAATTAAATTGATAAGTGGATTGAAATAGTTAAATTTTTTTATTTTTTATTTTTTTGGTAATGTGCATAAGTTTATAGTTAAAAAAAGGAACTAAAAATACATATTTAAGCTTATTTAATTTTTACTTAAATAAAAAGTAAAACTTTTTTTAGCCCTTTTGTTTTGCAGCTATTATTAATCCTTAATGCTACAGTCATGGTAAAAGAAGACAGGCAAAAATCGTAGACTAACAGAATCGTGAGTGAGTCCGTCCAACCGTCCAATAAGCAACTGACGTGAGAGAGAGCCCACTCCCTCCGGTCAGATGCACGGCCAACGCATCTCACCTCCA